TAGAGGGTAGGGAATACCCCCCCCCCCCCCTTAATAACAAATCACCAAGATTAAAACAGCTCATGCAATCATCCAATCACCAAGTTTTATATATTCAGGCCAATCACCAAGAATTCCTGAATCACGTTCCACGCAGAATATTGGGCTCAATAACGCATCACGCTCGAAACATAAGGCCAATCACGCGGAACGCATATAAGTCCGGTACGTAGGCCTACTTCTTACTGAATTCACAAAATGCGCATTGGCTCTATTGCGCCATTTTCATTCGTTCATATGGGCCTGAAGAGGTGAGTTACTTTCAGTAATGTCCTTTAATAAATTCTCAAATGACAATGATCAGGGGCGGATCCAGAGATATTTTCTGACAGTCTTCCAAATAAATCCGCCCCTGATGATAATATAGAGCCTATATCGGTGGGACAGGCATTTCTGCATTGATGCTTCAATCTTAAAAAGGAATATATATATAGCGTAAATCGTAAATTGTTTTGCCAAAGCCCGTCCTTTCCACCTTTTATGGGAAACCCATTTTGATCACTTACGGATTCTCGATTCTCGATTCACGCACGCAATGAGATATACCAAGATAATTTACTAAACGCTCAGGCGTAAAACGTTTTTTTTTCACTTTATGTGTATTTGTTTGTAAAAAAATAAATCAATATTTATTTTTGATTATTTTTTATTTGATTAATTTTTTTTTACTCATTTGTCTATTTTTAAATTTGTCTATTTTCTGATTAAAATCAGAAAACTTAGGCGTACAAATAGCAAATATTTTTTTCAAATCTGTTTACAAAATTATTGGCATCAACATGAACATTCAGTTTGTTTTTTTCTTATCAAAAGATCATTTTAACTGGTTGTATCCGCTTAGGTAAGAGGCCAGCGGAAGTGCTTCTCTTAACGCCCAATCAAATTTAGCGTATTAGATAACTGCTCCAGCAGCTAATCGCAGGCCACGTTACAGTTTGTAAACACAGCTGCTATCTAGGTCAAGGTCAGTCAGGTGGTACAATACTCCCCTGTTCCAAATAACAAAAGTGTTGTGAGACTTTGACCAAAAGATGGCTGAAAATTGACCCGAGGAGGGCGAGATCAGCACGCGAAACATGTCGAGCCCTTTACCTGCCGTGAATCCCACCAAGAGGCAACAGAATATTCTTAAAAAAACGATCCAAGGTTTAAAAGGTAAGCATGCAAAACGCAACTAACAAGATTCACTTTGCCCCCACTTTCCCGTGGCCGTTTGACAGCTGTTTGGAAACGGTTAGAACAAAACCTTATTTCACCACTCATCTCCCAAAATTTGCTCCTCACTTGAAAACTCTGGCAAAGTGTATGTTTTGATAGCAGGTATGTGGTGCTTACTTTTGACCTGTGGCCTTTATGATCGTACAACTACATGTACCTGTCCAAACATGTACAGTACCCCAGTGTGATATAGAACTAGACGGCATGTGTCTTACATATACCTAAGTAAGACAAAGTAAGAGCAAAGCAAATCTCATGCATGAGAAAAACCCACATTCTTTATACACCCAGCATAATGCCTTGGCTATACCTAGCCTTGCCCTGATGTAGCCACCTGCCCTGGCAGCCCATCATTCATCTCTGTAGTCTATCCCTTAAGAAAAAGTCCTATAGGATGCTATAAAATCCTATAGGATTTTACAGAATATTAGGCCAATTTTCTATAGGATCTTATATGACTTTTTCGTTGAGGATGGCCTGTCTCCTATTTGCTGTTTTGGTGTATTCACCTTTTTGTGTTGGAGCCTAAAACTGAAAGATAAAGGTAAAGTTTATGTGGAAGTGATTTCGGCTCTGAAGCTGTAATTTCCCCCCTATCCCTCAACCCTATGAGCAAGTGACAGTTGTGGAATCTATACAATTTCTCATTGCAGAATGTATCCTGGAGCTGAAGAGTGACTTTCAGGACACGGGCTGTCCCATCACAGATGACTGTCAGACACTGCACAGGTTCTGTGCCAAGCTGGAGTACCTGCTGCAGGCTGAGCAGAAAGGTAAGTACCCCCCCCCCGCCCCCCCGGGGACTGTTTACACCCAGGGGTCATTGTCAGGGACTGCTTACACCCAGGGGTCTGGGTCCAATCCCCCCCCCCCAAAAAAAAAAAAAAAATTATAATAATAAAAAGAAAGAAAGAAAAAAAACTTCATGTTTCAAGTTAGGCTTAACTTCAGACCAAATTGCTTGTGTACAGAGTACATACTTTAAGTTAAAATAATCATGATCAGTAGTAGTAGTCATCTGTGATAAGATAATTATTGGATGCCATTGTGGTTGTTGTTCTTATTGTTTCTTTAATTAAGTTATTATTATTATTATTATTATTATTATTATTATTCTCCAGCCAAGACCACTCTCCTAGGAGGAAAGAAGGACTATTGGAACTACTTCTGTGATTGTCTGGGATCAACCAAGGGTCTCAATGATGGCATCAAGTTTGTGAAATCACTCTCTGAGGTACAGTTGGCAGTTAACACTGACGAGGAAATTAGATTCATTGTTTGGGGTAAAATTTATATTTAGCGCTAGATGAAGGGGCCACACTGACAGGGCTTATGCTATTAAGTGTAATTTTGTTATTTTCTTTGATTTCAATTACGTACAAGACCTTCCCTCCTTGGTAAAGGATAATTTCTTAATTTAAAATCTTTGAGCGCATTCTCAACGAAGTAAGCCAGGCTTTACAAAGCCGGTGACCTAAAAATGGCGGACGTACATGAAAGAAAAACCGCCTAATCTTTTAATAGTCTCTCCGCCTCTCACACGCCTCCCCACACGTCGTCCCTGCGGGGTACAGTAATTAAATCTCGGCTCCGAACATTTATATTTCCGTGAATATCTCTGGTGATATTATCTCCGTAGATAGTCGATTCATTGCTGCTCTACGGGCCAAATTATTCCTTTTTCGTCTCTGTTTTCAAAGATAATAAAACAGAAGAGCTTTTTTCCTTCGATCGCCCTCAGCCGCAATGCTTTCTTCACCACGAGTTTAACTGATGAGCATGCGCACTTAATATTTCTCAGGTAGCTTCCGCATGGCGAACGGAGACGCGATTTAATTACTGTACCCCGCAGGGACGACGTGTGGGGAGGCAGAGAGACTATTAAAAGATTAGGCGGTTTTTCTTTCATGTACGTCTGCCATTTTTAGGTCAC